TATGTCGGAAAGTTCATTCCGAATCTTTCTGCAAAAACGTCATGCCTACGAGAACTCCTACAAAAGACAACAGACTTTGTATGGACAGACAAACATGAGAGTGAATGGCAACAGCTGAAAATAGCATTAACCTCTGCACCCGTATTACAATTCTTTGATCCAACAAAGAAAACCAAAGTGTCCACAGATGCCTCCAAGAATGGTCTTGGTGCAGTTTTATTGCAAGCTGATGATGAGATCAGGAAGCCAGTAGCATATGCAAGCAGATCCATGACTGATTCTGAGTGTCGATATGCACAAATTGAGAAAGAGTGCTTGGGATTAGTCTTTGGCCTGGAGAAATTTCATAACTATATATATGGCCTTCCTACCTTTACTGCAGAAACTGATCATCGTCCATTAATTGCAATAATAAAAAAGAATCTGAATGAAATGACACCAAGGATTCAAAGACTGATGATGAAATTGCAGAGGTATGATTTCAATTTGGTGTATACGCCTGGCAAATACTTAGTGCTGGCAGATACCCTCTCACGAGCACCCACAAGAGATAGTGAGAGTACAACAGAAGGAGATGTTGAGATTCATGTGAATATGGTCCGCACTGCGTTTCCAGTGTCAGATGCAAATAGCTGAAGAAACCAAAAAAGACGCTGCGTTGCAAGCTGTCATTGACAACATGTATACTGGATGGCCGACGAGTTCATCTCCAAGATTCCATGACATCGGAGGTGATCTATGTGTGGTGGATGGAATTCTTCTGAAACAAAACAGAATCGTCATTCCGCAAAGCTCGAGACGAGACATACTACAGAGAATTCACGAAGGTCATCTCGGTGTAGAAAAATGTAAGAGGAGAGCGAGAGAGATGGTCTTTCGGCCTGGAATAAACAAAGACATCGAAAAGATGTCTGGTGAGACAGTGTGACACATGTCAAAAATTCAGAAAAAGGCAAACTAAGGAGCCAATGATTATACCGGACTTACCAACATCACCCTGGGAGAAGGTGGGAATGGATCTCTTCCATCTGAAAGGCAATAACTATCTAGTGGTGATTGATTACTACTCAAATTACCCTGAATTGGCCTTACTCTCGGATATGTCTACAAAGTGTGGCAAGAGTTTTCAGTGCAATATGACTTCAAGCATGTCACTTCAAGTCCAGAATATGCTCAGTCAATTGGCAAAGCTGAGAAAGGAGTTCACATTCTCAAGCAACTTTTGAAAAAGGCTGCTGACAGTAAATCTGATCCTTACCTTGCTCTGCTCAATTACAGAACCTCTCCGTTAGAGTGTGGCATGGCCCCAGCTGAGATGCTGATGAATTGGAAACTTCGCACTACACTGCCCTCTTGTTCAAAACAAAAAGCAAATGTGAAAATAAAGCAGAAACTCAAGCAACTAAAGTATAGACAAAAGTTCTACTACGACAGGACTGCAAAGCATCTACAGTCGTTGGTGAGGGATGATGTTGTCAGAATCAAAAGTGACGAGAGCTGGAGCAAGAAGACCACAGTTATGCAAGAAGTAGCTCCAAGATCTTATACTGTGAAAACACATGATGGACAAATCTTCAGACGGAACAGACGTGATCTTTTAAAGACTGGAAAAGAAGTGAAAGACCTGAATCAATGCAATGTGAAGTCTGAATCAACTGCATTGTACACAACAAATGACTGCAACACTGATACGAACATAGACACACAAACATCAAACAGCCATACATTCACACTTAGAAGATCTACAAGACCCGTTAAAAAACCTGATAGATTAAATCTGTAAGAAACTGCTGAAAATGTAGTATTGAGAAAATGTTCGTTTGTAGTTCATCATTTGCGTTAACTGTGCATATAAAACGTGCAAAAATAAACATTGAGTTAAAATGTTATACTAAGTGCAACTTAAGATTGTTACAAAGAATACTAAGGTTACTTGTTTGTTTCTTTGAAGAAAGGGGGATGTGATGATATCAATTGATTGTGCCTGTTACTCTAGGAAACCACTAGATGGCACTGTGTTAAGTGTTATGTGTAGGATGTATGGCAATTAAGAAAGAAGAAAAACAAACTTGGGTTGTGTTGTTAAGATGAATAAAGACAGACATGTTAAGACTGCACTGAGAGACATTTTATTTAAGGGCTGAACAAAACAGTGATGTAGTTTTTTCATGACACAGATCTTAAGCGATATGTAGCCTGGTGAGGATTCAGGCCAGTGTTTCATAAATACTTCTCCAGATCTATTTGAGATTTTAACTGCAGGTTATTTCTTTGTTCTCGTCTTTCCACAATTTTATACTTTTTTGTGCTCTGTTTTTGGACACTTCTTTGTGAAAAGTGTCAGTGACTCTCACAGTAGAAAGCTCTTGGGTATCTGCTGCTGAAGGTCCGTATGATCAGCCCTGGGACAGACACAAGAGAGATGGCTACAGAAAGACTATTGAAACATTGCTGTGCAGAACATAAAGTTATTGAGGAGAATGTTTAAATAGTGTGTGTGCTCTGATCTTGAAACCATAAGGCACACACTGCATCTCTCCGAAGTTGTGTAAAGTTATAATCAGAAACATTATAGAACCACTGATCTATATAATGACTCTATTATAGATCAGTGTATCTGATCACTTAGTTCCGGACTTCCGGTTCTCAAGTTTTTTTTATTTTTATCGATTTGAGTCTTTTCTTTATTTGTATCACTCTGCTTGTCTGTATTTGCGCGTTTGCAGACAAAAAGTCAGTCTGTGCATTAGTGGGGTTTTTTTTTCAGTAACTCTTTCAACAGGTTAGCTCATTATGCAAGTAGATGGCGACAAGTTGCTGTCTAATTGAGTGAATCATTCACTGAACTGATTCGTTCAAATTGCAGTTTATTTCGCTTAGGCTTTGTTCAAACCTATTTTAGCATAGGCAAAAACAGACAAACGTTTCAAATATAAGTTACTCATTATTTTCTTCATGTTTATTAAGTTGTTGCATTAAAGGAGCATCACGCACATGTCTCTTTCCTAAATATTGACGTGACGCTTATAATTTACAGGGCATAACAGGAAAAGAACAAAAAGTCTATCTTTAATCAATGTTATTAAACATTGTTTCCTTTTATAAACCATATAGGCTACTAATTTATAGACTAATTAATAGGTTATACAGATATAAAATCTTGAATTAATATTTAAATCTGTATCAAACCACTACAATTGCAACCAGAGATATGTATGAGTTGCTACTGTTTTATGAACATGTAATATGCCTAATATAAATATGAACACGCAATCCTTTCAGTCACAGGTTTACAGGTTGTTTACTGAATGCTGATCGTGTGATGTTGTGCTGTAACGAATTCCAACTCGTGAACTTCGCTCCCTGTTAAACACCTGCAACAGTAAATCAATGCAAAGTAGCTCTGCAGCCAGTCTGAGCATCTCGTGCTTCAAACGGTAGATGGGGACGGCAGACATGATAACGCACGCGCACTTCTGCCAGGTTGGTTACTATGGTTACAACACAATGGGAGCCGGGACAGAGGTCTATTCGAAAGGGAAGAAAAAACTGCAGGAGAGAGAGACTGAGGAAGATGGATTGTGTGTGTGTGTGTGTGTGTGTGAGAGAGAGAGAGAGAGAGAGAGACCGCTTGACTGGTCACTCCACTGCAGTCTTACAAGAAAGTACAGATTTGGCGAAGCTCTTTTAGTCTAATGCCATCTTTACAATACAAAGGCAGCAGAGAAGCTAAATCCAAATTAGCTTATATTCCACAAAAACCACAATGGTAGGCTAAAAGAACTTACAAAATATCTTATGAAATTATTTTTGAAAATATAATAAATATAGAAACAAGAAATTATAAATATAAAATACAAATTATTGAATTATGAAATATGTGCTCCGTCATAACCATGACAAAGACCGATTAGTACCTTTTTTATGTGACATTGTGTCTTCACAGTTTGAGGCAGGCTCAGAGCCTAGCCCGTGTAAAGACACCTTAAAGTGTATGTGAATTGCTATTGTGATAGTGAAAAGCTTGTTTGTTTACTGCAGGACACACGTTAGCTAGACCAGCCTAATATATGTATATTAGGCTATTTGATTATTGTAATTGTGTGTGTGTGTGTGTGTGTGTGTGAGTGATTTTGGTTTAATAAGATTTTAGGGATGTTGGTGGGCCTTTTATATTAATGAAAACCTATTGGATGGAGAAAAGTGGGCGTTATATGCCAGAATGAAGCCAGACTGATTGTAAGTTTCCTAAAACAATCCCTAGATAGCTATTTGGTTATAAATAGCTAATAAAATAGGTTATACTATCCAACAGCCAGTATGGCCTTCATGACATCAGCCGAAAGGAAAGTCGTTTCACAGGAAGAGCAAGGCATTGTATTTTGACTAAAGTTACAAATTCATGTTTTCATGCTGACTTTTCTGACTTTCAGATTTTTCAAATCTGTATATTTGAAATAAGCCTCATGAATGATTGATTAGGTTCTGATGAACAAAATTGCCTGTTTCAAATAATAACTTTGCAGGAGTAATGGCACCCCTACCTCATTAAGGTACTACAATTAGGCCCAATTAGTGCCCATTACCTAATCGAGCAGCTAATAAAATAGGTTATACTATCCAACAGCCAGTATGGCCTTCATGACATCAGCCGAAAGGAAAGTCGTTTCACAGGAAGAGCAAGGCATTGTATTTTGACTAAAGTTACAAATTCATCTGTATATTTGAAATAAGCCTCATGAATGATTGATTAGGTTCTGATGAACAAAATTGCCTGTTTCAAATAATAACTTTGCAGGAGTAATGGCACCCCTACCTCATTAAGGTACTACAATTAGGCCCAATTAGTGCCCATTACCTAATCGAGCACTTCTAGGTTAATTTCCTTAATTAAGTGTGGTAAATCGACAATTAAATAAGCAGTAATTTACATAATTAATAAATACCCTTATCTCGACATCTTTCTTTATTCCTTTTTCCTTGTCTTTCCTTCCCTACCTTGCCATTTTCCCTGAAGAATAAGGAAAATCACGCCCCTTTCTCACCCTCGAGTGGTCGTGAGTCCCTCGCTCACCCCTCCATGAAGATTTGTCCTCGTACAGACTGCAAAAGAGTGCAAGTCGTCTTGACAGAGGAGCGGGAGAAGGGCAGAAAGAAAAGGGGGTGGGGAAGAATCAAACGTACGCATCAATTTGTACAGTCTTCAGCTGCACCCCGTTTTCTGCGCTGATTTTAGGGGGAGCGGCTGGGAAAACACTGCGTTATTTGCGAAGCCGCAACAATGTAAATCTTTTCGTGCAGCGAGTTGCCTGTATGTTTAAACGCGTGTAGGTCAATGTACAGTACGAACGGCAGCAGGAGAGAAAAAGAAACGGAAGATACGCATCGCTGGATATTATAGGTAAGAAGAGGAGAAAATGGATGCTTATATTTGACTCTTTGGCCATGTTCAGATGGTTCCCCCTTCCTCGCACTCCCGTCTTTGTGCTTTACTAGTGTGCATAGATTATGCTGAAATCATATTGCAAATCGGGGTGCGTAACCACGCAGGTCTCGAGTGCTCACATTCCACGGAGCTCGACAAGAATGCCATTCGCCATTCTGATCCCAAAGCTTCCTCGTATGAGAAGGAAAAGACGGGGGCGGGGGGGTACTCGCGACCCTTTCTCCTCGTCTTGTCAGGATTGAATGTGCAGTGCATTGTCTGAGAACTGTAATCCAGAGGTCGTCCAGTTAGTACAGTAGAGCACTGCCTCTGCATGCGTATCAATAACAAGCAGCAGAAGAATGGAAGAAAGGAACGTTGCGGTGCGTGGCCGAGCGATGATGCACGGTCGGGTGTCTAACTCACCCTACCTTTTGGCATCGTGCTTTTACGTGCTAAAGAATTCAAAACCAAAGCTAATTCCAACTATATTTGTGCATATGTGTATAAGAAGGGGACAGAGTGTATGATATGTTGTGTGTGGCAAGCCATTTAAACATGTATTCCTTAAAATTAACTAATACTCTTTTTATATTACTAGTACTTTTTTATATTGGCGTTACTAGTAAGTAATCCAGTGTTGTGAACAGTATATTTTTCAGTTTTATTAGTACTACGTTCTAGTAATGATCCATTACATACTAGTGTTTATCTCAGCAGTGAAAAGTAACTATTCCATTGTTACTGGTAAAAAAAATTGCGTTGTGTTTTTAACCATTGATTTCTTTGGAGATTATGTGCTTAAATATTCATTTATATTGGGTTGTATCTAGTATGCATTCCAGTTGTTGCTGATTCATATTTCAGTCTTACTAGTAACTATTAATTAGGTACTGGTATGTATTTCACATCATTCATAATATTCAAATAGTTATTAGCATTTAATCCAATTTTTCTAGTACTATCTGAATAGAAACTAGTACCTATTTATTAGATACTAGTGTAGAATTCATCTATTACTTGTAAGATTTTTTAATTAAACTGAAGTAGCCATTCATGCTGATCGTTACTCACAAATATTAAAAAAGTTGTAACTAGTGAGAAAATAAATTGGACCAAATTCTAGGGCTGTCAAAATGGCTGAAAAACTAAATTCAAATTTTGTACTTAAATATGATCAATATTTGAATTATATTTGAATTTAAAATGCATAATTTCAATTTGGGGAAAAAAAGCTTTTGGCTTGTCTCCTTGATGCCACAAGAGGGCGCATTAAGCAAAATATTACTATTGCACGTTTATTCAAAGCAATAACAACATGACAATCTGTGGAAAAAGTGCATAGTGTATAAAATAATGTTTATAAACTGAATAAAATTAAGTTGCATAAACCATTATAAAAAAACAGCATCATGTATGTATGCATTATTTAATACAAAGGGCCGAAAGCCAATCACACAGAGTACTTTTTTCATTTAAAAACATGAGATGCAATGGGATGGGGGAAAACCCGCCATAAAGTCTCAAGACATGTTTTTTAAAAGTTGAACTTACATTAATTTTACATGACTTTCTAAACATGCGGCTCTCTTGTGCGAGATGCGATTGCAACGGTGATAGATGTCACTCTAGAAAATGTGCAAAATATTTGTTCTGTGTGAATAGCTTGATTTTAATTTTGACGTAAACAAGATATTCTCCACATTACTAGTAGTAATACTTATATATATATATATATATATATATATATATA